GAAAATAGTGATACACTGAAGAAAGCTTTCAGTGAGAGTCTGTACCCTTTAAATAAAGACATTTATACCACTCTTATCATATATATCTATTATTATCTTATTCATTACCATCCCGATTGTGGTTCTAACCGAGGTTCATGCTCATGACATTAGAAAACGCCATCTAATGCTGTAAAAGTGTCAGAAACATTGCACATTCAGCTCAAGCTGTATAATTCAATGCACCTTTTTTGTTGGATTAATGAGTTATTGTCCTCATCGTTCCCTCTCAGAAAGCAAACCAAATTAATGAGAGGAGGCGAGCAAAAAAGCGCACAAGGGTTAAAGTGGCAGTGAATTATTCATCATGTCTCGTTCTCTTTGTATGTGCTGGACAGATGTGTAGAGAGATGAGAGGAGCAGGGGGATTTAATGAGTGGCAGATTAAAGCAAGTGAAAGGATCATGGTGCACTTTCAAAGGGAGTCAGATTTACAGATAAAAACAAACTTTGAAAGTGAAAAATTTTAAATGCTTTTTGATTTAATGTCAAGTGGTTTTTTTTAAATCTGAGACTTCTCATGTCTTCTTATATCAGAAGGTCGTCTAAGCCTGATGCTGCTCTGTTGTCTTACTGATTATAAGCTAGCTACTTGATGCTATTATTTGCTATCAATGAAACAACTGTGGTTGAGAGTGCCAATCAAGCTGTGAGTACTCCAGCGAGAGTGGTAGTTCTATGATCACAGGAAATATCCACCAATTCAATGGTCTTAAAATGTTGCAAATGTTTTATACAAGCTCCAGGGCAAATCTGTTACAGCATTTCCTGCTTCCCGCTATTCGGAATCCCATCTACCCTGGCTTAAAAGCCTGTCTGTCTGATAAAACATCTAGAGCGAGAGTCAGTCCCAAAACACCTCACAGAATAACAATTTCCTTAAAATGTGTGCATTTGGAGAATTTTGTGATTCACCAGATGCCCAAGCTTAGTTCATTCCCCTCAGTTTAGAGGGTGACAGTGCCTTTAAACGAAACATTAGCCAAATGTCAGTGGTGCAATCAAAGCAGACAATACTGTTAAACAAAAGACAAAGCCAGAGCAATTGGTTCAGTCTGTGATGTTCAGTGTTTGACTTGACACATAATGATTTGCTCACCCAAAATACTACACCAGTCAGAGATAGAGGGAATCATAAGGTTATTTCGGTGATTCAAACAGATCTATGAAATAAAGGATGTTTCTGTAATGACAATGCAACAGATTGTTTGCAATATGACAAATGAAAGATTTTATCGTCTGCCAGAGCACTCCTCAAATACCCCATCAATTTTGAGAGTCATTGTCTCAGTAACTGCAAAAAAGAGATGACGTGTCTTTTGTGTTGTATGGTGTAATAGAACAAAGAGCTTCTAGTCTTTCCTAAGGCATTATTTATGGGACAGATCAATATTTATCAAAAAGAATGAATATAAAAAAGATCGAATCATGGGTTACTCTGATCTAACTTGACTGGCTTTGTTGCCTTGAATCCATAAACTGACCTTCTCAATCCATAACCATTCATAACCATCCTTAACCAACATAGCAAATTTGGCCTGGCTCTCCGGATGGGAATGATGGTCTTCCTCTCTTCCCTGTCAATAAGAATGAAACTAACCCAACATGAGTGTCTGTGATTTCATGTGTATGGAAGAATGCTGTTGGTGCTCTCCTTTAAATGTCCTATGGCATTAAATAAGCAGTAGTTGATAGGATGCAGTGACTGACTTCATGTGTCTTGAAGAGGAAGCTCATGCTAGATTTTGCCATGTCTTGTATAGTTAAGGGTTCTGAGTTTAATAAAGGTATCCTAAAAGGTTCCTAGAACGGTTGGCCAATTTTGCTCTCTCAGACTCCACAGATGCACTACTTAGGAGCCCCAGATTTGGCTTTTTTTTTTTTTTTGGTGTGGTAATGGAGAGTTAGCTAGTTCATGGAAATTTAAATTTAAATTGGGATAAAAACAACCACACTGAAAGAAGACTGAGTAAAAATAAATTTAAAAAATGAGTGAGAAAGCTTTACAAGTATTTTACAAGGTTATTGAATTTACCTCTGAATTCACAGTGGGATGTAATTGCATGGGGCACTTTGGCCTGAGGAGAGAGTGCATGCTTGTTCTATGCTAATAGTTCACTTGAATGGCCCTTTGAGTGGATTCAGAGAAGAAAAGCACACTGTGCATGCTGAAAAGCTCACTGCTGTGCTACCAAACCTGCTCTAATAAGGTAGAGTGTCTAGGAGAAAAGGACGGAAACACATGGCATAAATGTTAATTTATATACTTCATTTGTTATTTTAATACACTAACAGCAGTTATTTTTAAATGTAGCTTGAGAAAACTGTTACCGGGTAACCAGGCTTAACGTTGCATTGCACGTTGAGGTGGATTCTACAGTTCTGTGCAAACATGGTCTGTTCAAAAGTTTCTTTTTTTTGGGTTTTAATCCATCCTTTGGTAATTTATTACTGTGGTTTTTCATGGTCTGCCATGTAAATGTTTTTTACTATTTCTAAGCTCACCAGTGCATTCATGTTTCTTGACATGTCCTACATTGATTTTTTTTTAAAAATTTCTTAGTATGTATTTTAACCCACAGCTGACACCAACATCACTAATATACACACTACAAATAATGCAACGAAAAGTAGTATTCCCAAGACATAAATCCATATGAGAATTAGCTCCTATGCTCTCCTAGCTTTTTATGGTTTGCCTTGTTGATACATTTATCACAAAATGAGTTGTCAAAATTCATGAATTCACTTTAATTCACTATACAGTATATAATGGTAATTTTATCAATTCAGATAAATGTAAGTACAAGAAACCTGAAATAATCTTCAGCAATTTGAAGGCTGCAGTCTGATTGGCTATATACGTGTACAGTATATACACTATATACGTGTACAGTATATACACTTCTATGACACAACAAGTTTTTTTGGAGCAGGATCATGTGAATCATGTCTTTAAAAGCAATTCTAAAGAGTTTGGTTTGAAGCAGTTAGTGGTGAGTACATGACATAATCTGACAAGTTTGCTGACGGGCTTTGGGATAAAGTCTGTGGCTTGTCATCTGTCATGCTAATCAAAGTGACTCTTGTCAGAGTAGACAGTTTTCAGCCACATTTATAATGAAATATACCAGGCTCTCTAGCAAATTCTAGAAGTCTGCGTTTTGAGACCTTGTGAGATCTTCAGTGAAATGATTTTAACTAAATATTGGGTGGATTACAGCATGTAAACATCACAGACTTTTTCTATATTCCCACCAATTAGGGATGACGCATGAAGTAACATATTCCTTATAAAATTGTCTGGCGCCTGGTTGAAAATCGTTTGCAATCAAAGACTGCTTAAAGTGAGAGCTCTCCTCAGACATTATGGGTTATACTGTATAAATATAAAGATCCCACTTTATATTGTCTCTAATACCTGTGTAGTTAAATAATGTAACTATTGACAACGTATACAGTGTTACAGATGGATTACATTATCTGAAAATAATTGTGTTTTTCAGCATTAATGTTTGGCTAATATAGGTATGCAAATGTATCTTTACAGTCGGAACAGGATATTATCTCTAAGGTAATTGCACATAACATGGTGAGAGTAATTACATTTTTATGAACAGCCCGATTTTCCATCAGACTTTTGTTTCCATTATGAGGGTACTTACACTACAACCACCCAGGAAATACTTACCTAACGTACCTTAACATCCCTAATATTTGCCTAGATGTACCTCAATCAAAAGACCTTTAAACCAGTCTGTAATTTGACAGTAACTACACAGCAAAAGCATACAGACTGTCAACTTCCTGTTACATTGTATTGTGGATTTTATCAAATTACATTCCAAATTACATTTTTTCTTGGTCACCATGTTATAATATTCAATAAATATAAAAAAGTTTTTTAATAACAAAAAAGCTCTTTAAAATGAGCGAACAAGTACTGTCAGAGTACTTACCGTCTGGCCTTTGGAAAGTGGGATGCACTCACATCATCATTAAACCCAAGTGAGCCAGTTACTGCAGCCACACATCCATGTCACTGTTTCACAGCGGAGGTGGGATGTGTTGGAGCTTGAGCAGTTCCTCTGTTCTCTATAATTTTCGTTTTCTGTCACACACTGTACCATTTTCTCTCATCTGTCCATAATGCTTTGTTCCCTATGTGAATGTACTGTATCAGTAGGCTTTTGAATGCAATTTCAGCAAACTATAACCAGGTTTCGTGGTGGGTTATATACAGTGGGTTGTGGTTAACCCTCAGATCATGTTAATAGGTTGATGATTTTCTTTCAAAAGTTTATGCCACCACAGATGGAGGGTATTCTTTATCTCTTTAATGGTTTTGTTTCATGATGACTGTTAGGATTGTATAATGAATTATAATGGTGACTACAATGCACCTGTCACCTTACTTAAAATCTACCCAGCTGTACTGCCTGTGTAATATTGTGATCAAAAGGTTAGGATTTAAATCTGTAATTTGAAAGTAGCTACTTACTAAATATACAGCAAAGTATGTTTTTTTTGTCTCCCATTTCCTCTCCAGTTTGGTCTTGCTAATTCCCACCCACTAGCTAACGCTTCCCTACACAGTAAAGAATTGACTGTAAATTTTTACAGTAATTTACTGACAACAGGCTTGCCAATAAAGTGCTATAAAAATTTACAATAAACAACTGTAAACATATTTACAGTAAAGCACTGTAATATCTTAAATAGTATAAAATAAAACATCCAATACATTTGCTCATTTGGATTAAGGGGCTTGCTCAAGGACATAACCTTGCCATTTTGGTAGTGCTGGGATTTTAATCCAGACCTTCTTATCTGTAACTCAAAGCCTTAACCACTGAGCCACCACAAGTAGCTCAACTAGCTTACACTGATTCAACCACTTCTACCACTCAATTAACTAGAACTAAAAGATTGCATTGAATCAGTTCAGGTCAGCTGAGCTAGTTGTGGTGGCTCAGTGGTTAAGGCTTTGTGTTACACACCAGAAGGTTGTGTGTTCAAATCCCAGCACTAACAAACAGCCCTGGTTGTATACTTGAGTAAGACCCTTAATCCTCAGCTCAGTTGTATCCTACATCAACTGTAAGTTGTGTTTTATCTACAGTACTGTGCAAAGGTCTTAGGCACATGATAAAGAAATGCTGAAAATACCATAAAGAGCAGTAAACAGTAATAAATGAAACAAATTCATTATCTAATAATAAAAAATACAATTATTGGCAAATTGCTGCAGTATACGAGGAATAAAACACTTCAGGGCATAGTGTTATAGGAAAGTAATCAGCTTTGGTGTGGTAACATCCCTCCACTTCGCATCACACTACCGCAGTGTTGATCATTTTCCTACAACAGCACACACTTTTGTGCTTTATTCCGTGCATACACAGTAACAGATAATTAAAATACACAAAATGATTGATGTTTCTATACGACATCTCTATAATCAGTGGTGAGTAAACAACATAATTTGTAAGTTTGCTGATAACTCACAATACAATATAACCAATAACAAATATTTAAAATTAAAATCAAATGTCTCTATATGATAGTTTTTTCAAGCACATCTCAGAATAAACAATGTACAACTGTTCTGTGATAGTAACTGATACTATGAATCATTACAAAAAACATTATTTCTTTCCTTTCCTTAGAGCATGGCTCGCTGTGTTTGCAGGAGCTGAGAGCAAGATGTTATCTACCTGTGAATGTGTGTGTGTCTGTGTGTGTGTGTGTGTGTGTGGCTGTGAGGAAATGATTTGCTGTTGGACTATACTGCCGCATTAGAGCATGCACTGACAGGAGGCTGAAGGGGAATGATGAAGTGTGTGTGCCAGGAGGTTAGTGAAGGGGGAGGTTGGAGAGGAAAGTGGTAGACTCACACAAGGTGCCTTTTCCCCTTGAAAATGTTGCCTGTGTCAGTCAGCTGATCTCAGCTGATCTCCTGTACGCAGCGCTGCTACCTGCAGCTCATCCATCACTGCCCGAGAAACTGAGAGATTGCATGCTCAGCACTAAAGTGGCGCATAACACAGCTCAATGGACACAGAGAGAGCGAGTGGGCGTCTGCATGAAGGTGTGAATATGTGTGTGGTTTTGTCAGCACGCAGAGTGTGTGTATGTGTGTGTTCTTATCAGTATGTGAGATGTCCATGGTGAGAGTGAGAGGTGAACTGCACATTTTCACATATAAGTGATGCAAGCTGAATGAATTAAAGACACATAATTCAGCCCAATGGGACTGTAGGACACAAATGGCAGAGTGCGATAAGTGCAAGGTGACAGCAAATATCTCAAACGACTCATTTTCAGATGAAAGTTATTAAGTGTCTAAGAGGGAGGGATAAAAAAAAGAATGACAGTGGTATCATTATCATTAACATTCTCTAACGCTCTGTGATAAATGACGGAGGCACTAGTGTGGCACAAGCCCTTAGGACCTGGAAAGCAATTCTCTTTGTTTCAATTACTTTTGGACTGTCCTTCTAACTTTTTTTAAAAAAAACATATTTTCCAGTTCATTTGAGACAAGGAAAGAAATATCACACACACTAGCTCGGAATAAACCTCTCTCTACTCTTGACTGTTACAGGACACATGAGAGGCAGGTGCTTATTTTCATTTAAGGTGCTTTAAAAGTGATGAATGTTAAAGAACACAGCAGACGGTGTCACGCTTGGATTAAAGCTTTAGCCATAGCGCATGAGAAGGCTTGTTGCATGGCAACTGTACACAGCGACAGCGCTGTTCCGCCTTCACCGCAGGTGGACAACCCTTATGGACAAATCACGAGAATGAGACTGGCTCTCTTCCATAGCTAGAGAAATGTTATGGCTCAAATGTGAGAATTAGATGTTTGCTTAATTTCAAACATTGAGACATTTACATAATATATGAGAATTTAAAAAAAAAATGTTACTGACACTGACTTTCAATTAGGTAGGTCATTGAACTGTTTCGTAGTAGTTAATTAGTTGTGGTGTAATCTTAAAGACATTTCAGCAGACAAGGGGCTTCAGTGAGTTAAATTCAATTCAGCAGTTCATCAACAGAGCAGAAATTAAGAAGGAAAACTGTAGGGGATGTTTTGTTGGCATGGTTTGGGCCCACTGCTCCTCTTAGAGTGAAGGGTAACACAAAGTTATAGATAATGCCCCCATCCACAGCGCACGATGACTCACTGAATGGTTTGATGAGTATGAAAATCATATGCTACTTATGTTTTATTGTTATTGTCCTATGTGTTATTGTCTCTTTGACAAGGGCCAAATTTTGGTGGCTAGACAACTGGGTCAGAGCATCTCCAAAACAGCAGGTCTTGTGGGGTGTTCCTGGTATGCAGTGGTTAGTACCCACCAAAAGTGGTCCAAGGAAGGAAAACCAGTGAACCGGTGACAGGGTCATGGGCACCCAAGGCTCGCCGATGTGTGTGAGGAGCGAAGGCTAACCCATTTGGTCCAATCCCACAGAAGAGCAACTGTAGCACAAATTGCTGAAAAAGTTATGAGTCAGAACACACAGTGCATCGCAGTTTGCTGCGTATGGGGCTGCGTAGCCGCAGACCGGTCAGAGTGCCCATGCTGACCCCTGTCCACTGCCAAAAACGCCTACAATGGACATGTGAGCATCTGAACTGGACCATGGAGCAATGAAAGAAGGTGGCCTGGTCTGATGAATCATGTGTTGGCCTGGGTGCGTGTGCGTTGCTTACCTGGGGAAGAGATGCACTATGGGAAAAAGGCAAGCCAGCGGATGCTCTGGGCAACATTCTGCTGGGAAACCTTGGGTCCTGGCATTCATGTGGATGTTACTTTGACATGTACCACCTACCTAAACATTGTGGCAGATCAAGTACACCCCTTCATGGCAGTGGTATTCCCTAATGGCAGTGGCCTCTTTCAGCAGGATAATGCGCCCTGCCGCACTGCAAAAATTGTTCAGGAATGGTATGAGGAACATGACAAAGAGTTCAAGGTGTTGACTTGGCCTCCAAATTCCGCAGATCTCAATGTGATTGAGCATCTGTGGGATGTGCAGGACAAACACGTCCGATCCATGGAGGTCCCACCTCGCAGCTTACAGGATTTAAAGGATCTGCTGCTAAGGTCTTGGTGCCAGATACCACAGCACACCTTCAGAGGTCTTGTGGAGTCCATGCCTCGACAGGTCAGAGCTGTTTTGGCAGGACAAGGGGGACCTATGCAATATTAGGCAGGTAGTTTTAATGTTATGGCTGATCAGTGTGTATTACATGTCTGATGCCCTATTTATATTTTCTCTCTCTTTCTCTCTGAACAGTGAACATGTGTGGGATCATGAGCTGAGAATGATAAATGGCTAGAGAATTGAAAAGCTGCACTTTTTTTTGTTGTTGTTGCTTTTTTTACTGCTCGCTGACTGTGCCAAAGGGTATGAGCACCAATAAATAAAAGCCCCAGGTCTGCTATGTTCTCTGAGTGGTGTGCTGCTGAAACTGTTACAGTCATATATTCCTTTAGACATCTACGAGTGTATGTAGGGTTTTAATGGAACCACTGGCATGTATGACAGTGTGATAACATTATTTTGGTCTTTAGAGACAATGTTCTTAAGAAATACTTATTTCTACGTAATGGACTGTATTCAGTATTGAATTAAGTGCACATTTTGAGGAGTTAATCCTGAAAAAGAAGAGGAATTGCTATCTCAAGATCCGAATTTTTTATGCCTAAAATTATGACTAACACTTACATAGATTGAGCTGTAAGTATAGCAGGTGAGTGCACAGTCAGCTTATCCTTCAAACCATGGGCATGTTTTCTTTACAGGAGAGTGCATCGAATCAAGAAAAACACTGACATTATTTTCCTATTCAACAACTCAAAATGGCAAATTAAAGGCATGATAAAATAGCTTATATCCCCCACACATTACGATTTCTTGACCTTGATTTAAAATTTACATTAAGTTCTGTGCGCAATTAATTTTATAAATTTTAGAGATAAAATGCAATCTAATAGGATATCTTAGATCATTTTAAAGCTGACAAATAATAATGGTAATAATAAAAAAATAATAATAATTAAACCAAATTTGCAGTGATTAATGTTATAATTACAATTAGGACTCTTCATCCAGCAACCTAGGTGGCGTGGTCTACACGCAGGTTATTTTTAATCAGATAAGGCTGATTAGCTGTATAACTTGAGTCTGAATATGCATAACTTTCTTTGCATAAATATTAACATATCTTGTTGCATATAACATATTAACACATATAACATATTAACACAGCCTGTTGTATTTAGTGTATAAAGATTCTTCATCTTCTGGATTCTGGACTTAATATAGAGAGAAAATAGTCACGGTAATTTACATGTACTCTCTGCAGGATTGTGTAATCTGTGTTTCCTGATATCCAGACATCTTACCCTGTACACATACATGCACTTGGTTATGCCTGAGTGCCTGTGGAAAAGTACTGCCTGTTCCAATTCCCCCTCCTTCTCTTGCTGCCTCTCAGTGAATATGAAGCTGCTGTGTATTGTCTGTGTAACTGAAAGACCTTTTTTCACAGATGGCCTGAAAGGAAATGTGCTGCTTGCACACCCGAACATGTTTTTAAGAAGAGTGTATATGTGTGTGCATGTGTGAGCGTGTCAGGAAAAGGTTGCACCTGAAAGCTGCAATGTAACCACAATGATCATCTTAGTATTCTCACTATTTCTAATTACATTTCACATTTTACACTGTTTTACCCATATGTGTACTGTTATTAGCCATTTAATTGAATAAAGTAAAAAAAAGAATTCTCAGGGTGTCTGGTGGATGGTAGACATCTTAATAGAGATTTATATAAAGGAGTGCAGAGGCTCAGAGCAAACATGCTTGTTACATAAGGTACTGCAACTGATTTCTCTCATTAGTGTGTAACACCAGTAGAAGAATAGAGCAAGCAATTGAAATCGACATGCATTTTAATTTCTTTTTATATGTGATCTGGAGAGGCCAGTGTTCCCCTGCTCCGTGTGGCCTTGGTC